GGGGGGGGGGGGGGGGGGGGGGGGGGGGGGGGGGGGGGGGGGGGGTGATGCCTTGATTATGCCGCAAAACCGGGGATATCGCCATTTTGTCCCCGAGTATGCATGTATTTTTTTTTTTTTCACAACAACGTTCTTTGTTACAGAACACACGTACCCACCAAATGGCGTCTTGTGGGAGTTTAAGGTGAATGTGAACACATCGAAATGGCCTTAGGGTTGCTGGGGAGAATTCTTACCGTAGCGGCCACAGCTGAACAGTGCCTGTTTGGGTGGGCACAACATCAGCGGCGCAAGGGTTTTCATCCATATTTCTTTTTCTGGAGTCGGTGTATGATCAGAATGGATCGACTATGCATATACTCCTTGGTTTTGGCTCTTGTCATGCGCACAGCACCGCTGTACGGTCAAAAAGGGGTAGAACCAGTCCCTGATTTCAGGCCGGAAACCAAGGGATGTTAAGATTTCGTCCCCGGGGTGATGATCGTTCCCAAAAAAAAATCTCAAACAAACCAATCTAGCAGTAGACGCGTGTACACCAAAAATCAGATCATGGAACGCTTCAGAACGCACGAAATCAGCCACGAAGACCAAGTGTCCCTTAAAAGGGGGGGGGGGTGATTTCCTGCATTTTTCGGTGAACAAAGAGGTCCACTGCACCAGCCCTATCGCATCTACACTTGCGATTTTTTTTTCTCTTTTTGTTAGGGAGATAGCCTTTGGTATATCCCATCGCCTGATACTTACGAATCGCTTTCACACCCGAGAACGAGCTGTTGGCGCGAGAGGTGGCTTAGGCGTCCCTTAATAGGTAGGTTTGCTCTACTCCTGTAGTCTACATGTAGGCCGTTGCTGTGCAGTTCGCAGTATCCTCTGGCGTTGTGGAAGCAGAGTGTCGAGCACCTGGATGTATCAACAGGTCTTGGGGCCTGAGCCAGCAGCATCGAAGCCCGTCTGCTAGATTTCCACACCTTTGGGGATCAAGCGTACCACTTGTTCCCTCTTCTCGAGACTCGATACCGCATAATGGAGGGTACTGCAGGCCTATACACTTGTATATGTACCACTTGACGTTACTTTGGGCCACACACCACGTTTCCTCTCTCTCACGGAATTGTTAAGACTATGTCATGCCACTCGAGCAGCCTGCAACTGCAGGAGAAGCGTGTAGGTAATCTGTATGTGGCGAGCGTGGTGGCTGGAGCTGCACCAACGGACCAACGGCCGGCACAAAACTTGAGCGTATAACAGGTTGCTGGCTGAACCAGCAACATTGGTAGCCTCTGCACCAAATCATGCACGATGAACTAACTTCTATGAGACTGGTTGCAGCTTTCCGCGTTGCAGCTTCTCTCTCGCGCGCTCTCTCTTGGAAACATTGGGCTTTTGTCAATAAGCCAGAGCTAGAGCGGTCCGCGCGAACCGTTCCGCAGAACACAGAGGACCGCAAATGTATCATCTACACCGTACCGTTCTTGGTGCTATTATAGCCAAGTTAACGTCGACAAACCCCCAAACACTTGAAAAATAACTGTTTCAAGCGTACGTAGCTGTAGAGGTGTGTTCTGCTCTGGCCCAGCAACAAATGATGTCCAGAAAGCAATCTGTGTGCCATGCTGGCTATGCTGAAAACATTCCGAGCGAAAGTATATCTGTTGATGGGGGCACAGACGACTTGGGCGTGAAGACGAGCAAACGATACCCCATGTAATCGTGTGCGTGACTCCGAGGCACCGCAGCTGGTAAAGCCCTCGGTAATGCCTCTATGCATGTTTTACGATGCCCGATACATGTGTACCGGTTAGAGCGCGTGCCACACGTGAGACAAGGTGACAAGGTGAAGCGTTTTCCTCGTGTCGGTGTCTGTGCTTTGCTATCGGTGCCGGTGACATGGTTGGCTGGCCCATAACGTCCCTAATGATGAACCTTGACTACTCAACGGCCTTGCATTGGGGAAAGCCCATGGCAACCATTATCATTAGTTATCCCGCCGTCAATGGAGCTTTCCCCAACGCCTCAATCCTGCGCCTCCCGAATCATGAGCGCAGGCTGTATTCGATCGATCTGCATCGAAAACAAAACTGCAACAGTAACCACGACGGACGGTTTGAGTTGTCACCTTCAGCCCTCGCGTAAAAGATTGCATTTTTCTCATTTGGACCTTCGTGCGCTCGTCCTCCTCAAAAGATGCACACCAACACCGCAAAGAGTCATGCACGAATTCTGTCATTCTGTCTAGGCCGAGCGACAGCGACATGGCCAGCACCCTGCGGCGGCTATCGCTGACGGTGCAGAAGCGCCGCCGACTCGCGGACAAGATCAAGAAGGGGGCCAACGGGGGCAAGGCAAAACGTAGCGGAAAGAAAGGCCCTCAGAGCGGGAAGGGCGGCGTCGGCAACGGCGAGGAATTGACGGCCGCTCTGTTCGGCAAGGAAACCGGAGAGCCCATCGAGGTGCGGTGTGTGCCGCGGGCGTGTTTGGGCTGTTGATGTGGACACATCCGAAGTTCAGAACCGAACATTAGAGAGGAATCCTATTCAAAGGTGGGAAGGGCGTGTTTGGGTGTTGCTGTGGACAAATCCGAAGTGCAGAACCAAACTTTCGATAATAAAGCTATCTGGAAAATATTTATCTTCGGGGCTGTAACCGACCAATGTTCTCCGATCGTGACCCTCGAGAGTAGGTTGTTTTGGAGGCGGTTTCCATGTTTTGGCCTTTCGGATCTGGCGTAGCGAAAAGGTAGGAGTTGCTCTCTCGGTGTGCCTTTATCTCTCTCTCTCTCTCTCTCTCTCTCTCTCTCGCTCGCTCTTTCGTTGGGAGATCGTGCCCGAAATTAATCGCACCGGAACTAAAGGGCGTCGACAACGACGGCACGTCGTCTGCTACCACAGACAGTAGACTGATCACGTCGACCCGTACTGGTGCCTTGGGCACTTGTTGTCGCTGCTGCTGCTTGCAGGTGGACGGTGTGCTCAACGGGGACGGGTGGGTCCGCCTGTGCGGAAGCGGCGACAGCACCCACGCTACCCCCGGCGAAACCGCTGGGAACACGGGAGATTTCGTCGCTAGGGCAGCGGCTCTGCAGGGCGGTGAATTTGGCAGCGGCAAAGGTAGCACCAGCAGCGAGCAAAAGGGTTTGGTGGTTATCAGAATTGGCCCCACAACGCCTGCAACTGCTGCTGCTACTGCTACTGCTGCTGCTGCTGATGCTGATGCTGCCACCGAAACCTCTCCTTCCGCCGGCGCCGCCGACGCCGCTAGCGCCGAAGATGGAGGCATCAAAATCCCGGGCGCCGCCGCAGGGGAAGACGCGGGTTTCCTGGAGATGGACGTTGTCGTCAACCCTCCCGCGGTGACCTCGCTGGAGTGCTCCATCGCCCAGCCCATGGCCGGCTTCTCGGTCGTAGCCCAGGCGGAGGTGGAGTTCGGTACGGGGATGGGGTGGGAATGGCTGATAGAAGAAGAAGAACAGCCGGTGGCCGGTGCTGCTGCTGCCGCCGCTGCTGCTGCTGCTGCTTCTGCTGCAGACGGACTCTCGCGGCGAGGAGGTAGGGCGGGGGGCGATAACGGGAGTAGGACGAAAGGGGGTCAACTGTTCACCGGCGCTCGAGGTGGGAAGGAGTGGCGGTAGGACTCAGGGAGAGCCGTTGCGTACCGCAAGAGTATGGTATTGCTTTGTGGCAGCGGGAGCGGGGCAGGGGGAGAGGGGAAGAGAAGTGAAGGCGTGGCGGTGAACGGTGCACACTACGAACACCGCGAAGACGGAGCGGGTGGCCTGTCGCCGCTACATACTAGCGTTGTCAATTTGACCACGTTTATGAGCCACCTTTGGCAACCTAGGAAGGAACGCTTGACCGTCAGTGACCGGTCTTGCGGGAATATCGCTCCTCGTCCTCCGAGGACGCGTGGTCAATGCTTTAACAGCCAAGTCATGCATAACATGACTATGCCCCGCCCCTCCCGCAATGTGAGCAGCGGTCTGTTCTGATCCCCCCCTCCCCCCTGCCCATGGGTTGTTGTCCATACCGGGTGTACGCGATCCGATCGTGCATCTTGCTTAACTGCCTGGTGCAGGGTTTTCGCGCGTGGTGGGGAGGATGCGCGCGTACACCCCGGTGGATGCGGACGTGGGCCTGCGGCTCATGGTCAGGTGCGAGCCCGTGCTCTCGTACGATACAATGCATGGTATGCACGCGATACATCTCGCGAGCGGGTCTCGTGTAGCCAATGGCATTTCGTCATTCTGCGATCGAGAAGAAAAATGCAGACGGCTTTCAAGCCCTTGTATGCAAGCGTGGTGGGATACCCTTCCGAATTACGGCGACCGACCATCTACACCGATTTTTTGCAACAGGCGCGGAGACCTCGTGCCTGCGGAAATCGCCGACTGCTGCTGCTATTGCTGCCACGCTGGCGACACGCTCGACTGAACAGCAACGCATCCACCCAGCACCCATCCAACGTTGCACTGCACAGGTGCACCCCGATGGGAGCGGAAGGGCGAAGAGGGAGGCCGGTGGTTCGAGTGCTCACGTCTCCCGTTCGACCCGGTCGCGCCCCCGGACCCCTAGCCCTGCGGAGGCGTTGGCTGGAGGAGAGGGAGGGGGCGGTCTACGGGGGAGGGGGAGAGGGATCAAGGGAGATTGAAGGACTTGCCGATGGCACGGAAGGAGGGGTGCGGGAGGGCGGGGGTCGAGTTTTGCCGGGAGGGGCGGCGGCTGTGGGCGGGACAAGAAAGCGTCGTCGTCGTCTTCGAGTCATGTGCTACAACATTCTCGCCGACATGTGAGAGGAGGGCTTAACTAGAGTGATGGACGGGTACCTACACGAGGGCGGGTGTATGGTCCTGTGAAGGGAATCTGTTGCTCTCCTTGTAGAGAGACCGAGGGGGGGGCGACGCTTCCCAAGGTCGAGGTGACCAGCTATGACGTTTTCCAAGTTCGGACAAGCCGCGTCGGCTGTTGTCATTTTGGGATCGAAGAGACCAGCGACCCACACCGAAACACCAAAAAACATTTACAACATCTGTACGTAGACGGAAAGGACATTATTGTTCCATTGCATGCAATGTAAGCGGCACAAGTGCTATGAGCGCTGATTTGAAGTGAAGACACACAAAAAAAAAAAAACGTGCAAACGTCAACACGGAAGGTATTGCACGTCGGAGCAAGCGGACGAGGTGCTGTATCCGTACTGCCCCAAGGAGTATCGCGCCATGGACTACCGGATGCAGATGGTGGCCAGGGAGGTCCGAGGGCACGCAGCCGACCTCATCATGCTGCAGGTGTTGCTGCATCATGCTGCTGCTGCCGCTGCTGCTGTTGTTGTCGTTGCTGTTGCTGCTGTTGCTGTGGCCGCTGGTTGTTTTGTTCGCCTCTCTTCTTCACCATACCTCGTTTGATTCCCTGAAAATCGTTCTTCTTTTCTTTTCTTTTTCCGAGGCCTGCACAGCTCTCTCTCTCTCTCTCTCTTCTCTCTTTCTGTCTGCCTGCCTGTCTGTCTGTCTGTCTGTCTCGAGGGCGGTGGTTTGGTGATTTTGAGCCTCTCTTTCTCTCTCTCTCGCTTGAGAGGGCGGTACTAAAGTTGTGTGATTTTGAGCCATGGACGTTTCTTTTCGAAACTGCTGTGTTTTTCTCCCTGAAACGATCGCCCGTCCTGTTCGGCGGCAGGAGCGCAACAGGTCTTTTTGACTTGCGAGGGACCTTGCCCTATTAAACTCAGCTCTCGAGGGTGTACCGACAACAACATTCATATGATGCATACGTCATGTACAACAACAACAGCAGCAGCAGCGCTAAAATGTCCTATGTTCGTTGAGCAGGTGCATCTCACTCTGAATCGCTTCGATTTTCTGCTCGTTTGTTTTTGTTCTTNGGGGGGGGGGGGGGGGGGGGGGGGGGGGGGGGGGGGGGGGGGGGGGGCAGGAATGCGAAGCCAAGGCGTTCGACAGGTATTTGTCCCCGGGCCTCGCGTTCGACGGTTTCGAAGGGATCTACGCCAACAAGGCGGGCCAGGCCCAGGTTTGTCTCGCAGCCCTCCCAACCCAGTAGCACCGCGGTGGCTGAGTTGCTCGCTTGCGATGGTGGGCGAGGGTGCGTGTTGCGTGTTGTTTTGACCCTATCCGCATGAACCGCGCTAGCCGGCCTACCGATGGAAAGGCGTCAGTCTCAGTGCGGTTGGAAACGCACAACATTGCTAGAGGCCATGATCTGGGTGGGACCCCACGAGGCGGTGTCATGGGGGGCGGGTGTACTCATATAAGCGCGCATGCCGTAGTCGTTAGACCGTTGACCTCGCATCCCTACAAAGCCGGGACGGAGCACGCCGGGTTCTCACCGGACCAGGCTCTCACATCACCAAGCGCGAAGCGCCGTGAGATATTCGGCGAGTCGCATGAAGGGTGCGCTGCATCCTGCTAAGGGTTTTCGGCATCTTGTGCTTACTTCCTTGCGTACGGATGACAGCTGCGTATGACTTAATTTATTTTCTGGTGCTTTCACTTCCAGAGACAGTTGTAAGCACTGTGTAACTGCCTCGAGGGTGCTTGACCATTTTAACACAACGTGGTGCGATCATCCCCCTTGCGCGGAGTGAGGGTTCTCCACCCCGCACAACATGATCTACTCGACCACCATTATGGTTACCGCCAAAAAAAAAAACGGAGGTAAAAAAAAAAAACGGTAACCTGGTTGCCGAGTTCACGAAGTGAATTGGCTTGTTTTACAACGTCGTTGCCAAGCGACGAAAACCCAACCCCGATGGCAAACACCGGGGGGGGATATGGGGGAGTGTGTGTGTGTGTGTTCGTGGCCTTGTCGTCTTCCAGTCGCTGTGTTAACCGCTGCCCGGGGGTGGTTTGGCAGTTTCAAAGGGTCCCAGTAGGGTTGAGTGTTAATTGTGCCAATCCCGGTACGTGAAAACGCCTTTTGGGGGGTGCGAACCCCCAAGTTCGTGCGCTGTGCAGCGTGTTGTTACAGGGAACCCCCTCCGTACCTGTCATGCTTGAGACATACAATGCCGGGAAACTCGTTGCTCTTTTTTTTTTTATGCGATAGGGATGCGTGCGGTAGGTTTATGGCAATCAATGTGCTAGCGGGCATGAGCGTTAGTGGACCAATCCTGCCTCGTGCTGCTGTACGTCCAGAGATGCCGTCGGTCGTCTTGTTATAAAAAATGGGCTTGGAAAATGCGGTGCACCTACCGCCATGCCCGCATACGATTTCACGACCCTCTTTCAGCCTCGACCCCCTCTCTTGACTAGGGCATGCCCACCGTATGGCACGACGCAAGATAGCACCCCCACACACACAATACCACACCCAGTGGTGGATACTATTTTTTCGGGACAACCTTAGCCCACAAAGTATCACTACCTCTCAATATTCCAGCAATTAGGGCAACAACAAAACTCGGTGATCTTCCTATTTTTTTAAGTCAGAAGGTTGTTATCGGGAAGCGTGTTCTTGCATCGTACATGCGCGGTGACCGCTGATCGGAGTGCACGCACGACCCCCCCTCCCCCTCCAGGAAGGGGAGGCCATCTTCTACCGAAGCTCCGTCCTCACGCTGGAGTCGAGGCACGACTTCAGCATGAAGGATGCCATCCCGGGCCAGGAAGATTTCCGAGGGCTCCTGAAGGCATTCCCGACTCTCTCGGCCATTGTCGAGGAGCGCCTGACCACTGTGGCGCAGGTGGCGGTGTTTCGCCCGGCTTCGGGTTGCGACAGCGGGGGCGCGGCGGAGTTTGGGGGGGCGGGAGAGGAGGGGTCGCGAGTAAGGTGAGTGCTGAGTAATAGCCTCGATGGGTCTATGAGTTTTGACAGGGGGGGCAACGTGCGTGCGTACACAGATGCACGTAGATGTGTGTTTGTGTGTGTACCTCCGGACATCCAGAGAGAGTTATATGCGCGCTACCTGCCGGAGGGAAGAGTTAGGGTTTCGCAGCGCACAACGAACGAACGAAATATTCCTTTCCCACGAAGTGTTCGTCTAGAATTCCGGGCGCGATCATTCTCCGGGGAGGGGGGGGGGGGGGG